TGCTGAAACAGTAGGAGCGTTAAACATTTCTTCTCAAAGAAATTGGCTGCCTATTCTAGGCACAAATAGTACTGCTTTAATAAGGTCTTTCTATTCTACTCCTTGCTTTATATTTGATCTGAGAACATTGTATAGGGTTTATGTGGCAAGGTTTTGGCATCTGGGGGGCTGCAGAGGTGGCCTCTATGAGAGGAAATACGGGCTAACTGTATGTCAGACGCACCACTGGGCAAAGCTGAGCCCATCTGTGACACTGGTAGTGCCTCTGTTAAGAATGAATGAAAAACACTGCACAGCAGCCAAGAGAAAGGAGGGATTAAAAAAAAAATAGAGAAACCACCCGGCAGACATCCAGGTCAGTAAAGAAAGAGGGGGAGGAGGTGCTCCAGGCACTAGAGCACAGATTCTCCCGCAGCTTGTAGAAGACCATGGCGAAGCAGATTGTTGCCCTGCAGTCCATGGAGGACCACAGTGGAGCAGACACCCACCCGCAGCCCAGGGAGAGCCCACACCCAAGCAGGCTGCTGGCAGGAACAGTGGCCTGTGAGGGACCCACACTGGAGCAGTCGGTTCCTAAAGCACTGTACCCTGTAGAAGGGGCCCATGTTGGAGCAGTTGTTGAAGAACTGCAACTAGGAAGGACCCATGTTGGAGAAGTCTGTGAAAGATTGTATTCTGAGGGAGAGACCCAATGCTGGAGCAGGGGAATGGCGTGAGGAGAAGGGAGTAGCAGAGACGAAGCTTTATGAGCTGACTGCGCCCCCTCCCCGTTCCTTGCACCCCTGCAGCTCTTGGGGGAAAGCTGGTGGAAGAGTGCGGAACAAAGGGGTGAAGCTGAGCCTCGGAAGAAGCGGGACAGAGGGAAGGTGTTTTGAGTTTTATTTTTGTTTTGTTTAACTGGCAATAAATTAATATACTCAAGTGAAGGCTGTTTTGCCTGTGATGGTAATTGGAAGGGGGCCTCCCTGTCTTTATCTCAACCCATGTGCTGTTTCATCTTATTTTCTCCCTGTGTCCTGTTGAGGAGGGGGAGTGATAGAGCAGCTTGGTAGGTGTCTGGCAGCCAGCCAATGTAAACCCACCAAAACATGAAAAACATATGCCAATGCAGTATACACAAATATCCATTTTACTGACAGTGTCATGTCAAACATCCTTAAAACGCTTTTTTTAGCCTGATTCATACTGCATATTTTTAAAAGCATTTATATAAATTATGATGTATGTTTGGGATAAAACACACTGTGTAAAAGTGTCCTCAAAAGTCAAACATATTAAACCAAAATCCTCTATGAATTGTCTAAGAATGCTCTGAGCCTTTTTGGTACAATTCCAGGAGTTGTTTTAAAAATTAACTAAACATCAAAGTAGTATCACAACTCCGCTGCCTACTCCATTTATCTCAGCAGGGAAATAGTCGCTAACAAAGCCCCCAAAACCCAGAGGCAGATTCTTTTCACTCATGCTAATGACAGAGACACTGACACTGTGACTTAATTGAGCCACCATTCATCAGACGATAATAGATCAGAGCTGCCCTCAATCCCCCGAGTATGGCATCGATTATAGATATGGAACCTTGCCCACCTCACAGCTGGAATTCAAGCTATTTAAAGAGAAAAGTAGTAATTTAAAAAACAAAGTGGACACGTAGATACTAAACTAATTCAAGCCAAGGTGCCAAACAATCCTGCCATGCAAGTGCTCTGCTATTGCACATAATTCTCTGAAAGCAGGACGGACTGACTTAAAAGAAACTAAGGCTATGTCTTACTTTTATACTCTGAGAAAGACAAGTCATTTTAATTTAGCTCTCATTCTGTCTTCTCGATTTCAGAAGGATTAAACATTGAATTATAACCAGCTGAATACACTGAGATGAGGAAAATCTTCTCTCTGCATCTGCAGAAGAGACAGCTGCTGACAGAAGCTGTTTCTCATTTCAATAAATTGAGGCTGCAGGTGCTAAGACGGTAACTTGCACCCTGTCAATTTTCCTTGAAATATATGCATCTTAAATTAGATATACTAAAACTGAGTTCTGATAATATGCTCAATAAATACTGTCAACTTCAGTATGTTTTGCCATAATTCAAGTTTACTTGTAAATAAATCTATTTGCTCATCTGACATTCAAAAATATTAATTAAGATTTGTCACTTGAGTTCCATTGAGAAGAAACTTGAAACTTTATGTATTGTGTTGATAAGCAACAATAACACAATATTACAAGACATGAAAACGCAGTAATTTCTGGCTGTTTGCCCAGTTACATGAAGTAAAAAGACTCAGCAACGCAGGACTGCTTAGGGAATGATCAAAAACTCTGAGAAAGAAAATCTCATTGATACAAAGTAGAATTGACTACTACAAAGAAATTTAAGGCAAATGAATTAGGAACAGCAGTTATTTTCAGTGACCAACACAGCTACTGGCAGATGAAAATTTTCAAAGTAGGTAAAGCAAACAAATCTTCCTTGTATTTCTAACATTATAGAGGAACTAGAACAATCTAGTTCATATATAGATTTCATACAAGATCATTGTTGCATTAGACGACTTGTTGCATAAATTCAATTTCTGTGGCAGCTATATAGAAAATAAGCATCACCCTAGCTCTCATGCTATATTTACCAGCACTATCACTTCCACGCTTTTGTTTTTCAATGAAATTAACATTCTTTGAACTCAAGCCGAAAGTATTACTATTACATGCACGTATATACACACATATTCAGAGAGATAGCACAGGTACAGATAAACTGACTCCCCCCAAATCAAGCATAATTTCTGAACTTCATAATCACACAAGAAGCATTTTTAACGGAGAAGTTTGTTTCAATGATTATTTTTTCCATGAATACACATACCTCCTCGAAAAATTCTGAGTGCACCTTGGACTGTTAGTAAAATAATCTGTTTTTATACAGGCAGGTTACCCTGATCCCAGAATTACCATAATATCAGCTCAACTTTACCCATTGAGCTCAATTTCAAGGATATATCCTTCACTGTAATAAATTTTGCCATGCATTAGTGTGGTGAAAATAACAACAATTATGAGGCAGTAATTACAGCCGGGACCGTATCATGTGTAGCAAGAACTGAGGGCACTTCAAGACAGAGGTGTTTAGAGTTTACCATTCTTGTCAGACACACAAAGAAAGGAGGGAGAGGAGGGTGGTTGTTCTGTTTAGTGAAATGAATTCTGCAAAAGGGTACTGTATTTTTCACATTGCTTAGCCTAATACTAGATGTAATTTTACTTTGTCCTAAATTTTATTAAGCAGCAGGCTTTCATAACATAAGATTGTATTAAGCAAGTATTCAGACAGGAGCTGGACAGGAAACAATTAAGGCTTAAATAATGAAAGACAGTAGCTTGGAGTCTATGAATCAACTGCATGCATATTTCTGTTAAAAAGGCTAGTAACTGAGTAGTTAATATTGACAACAGGTCACTTTCAGCTTCTGTGGAAAATAATGTTATCCAAGAAAGGTAAAACATTTTATTTTTCTGAGGATTTTCAGAATCCAACAATATTGCTATTGTTTACATGCACTTCACATATGAAGACTTTTCTTTAAATATACAGATGAGAGCAATGGCCACCTGAAGGTTGTTCTTCCAGCTTTGTTAGTTCGACCTTACAGCACTTTGTAAGAATCAGCAGAGCTATGACCTGTGTCACAGCATTTTCTTTTTGCCCTACCCTAAGTATTGCCCTCAAGAACACCACTTCTTCTTTTAAGCCTGGTAAGTTAGGCAGCAGTGGCTCTATTTTACTGGCCATTTCCAGCCACCTCGGTCTTCTTTATGTAGTACAAAGCGACTTGAGCAAAGTACAAAATCCTGTCTGAGCTCTCCTCACTCCATAATAAAAACTGCTTTTAAAAACAAGACTTGCATTGACTTTTACTTTTGCAGTATAGCTAGCAAGGATACAAAGATTACTTTAGTAAGGATCCAGTTCTGTAAAGTAAAAGCCACTTTTTTCTGCACAACTTTGAAACTGACAATACCTGTCCATAGTTTTGTTTCAAACTTGCACTACCAAGACCTCTTCATTAATGCAGCCTCTTTCTAGCCTTCAGTTCACTGAGTGCTATAAAGACTTAGAGAACCACAGAATAATAAGGCTGAGGGGGACTTGCTCAGAGGCAAGATCAGTACAAACCCGACAAATGTTTGTACAGCCTTTTAGCAAAAGTCCCAAATTACTGAAATTCCATATCTTAGCCCAAAAATCTCATAAAAATTTCAGGTCTAACCACAATGCCATCTCATCAGGCTTTATGATTCTAACCTACCATACTGAACACACAGCTCCACTTTCTATCTTTTCATCAGTTACCATTACCTCATCATACCACAACAACCTTGCTTCTTGCCTTTAAAGCTCTTCAGAACTTCCCAGTCTTTGCCTGTGAATTTTGTGTCATCACTGCCTTCACCTTTACTGAAAAACAGCAACTCTCAGCAACTGTCTCCCTTAAAGGCCCTACAGTTGCCTCACCCCTGCCATCCTTCAGAGTGTGACAGAAAAATCTACTCCACAAAGTTCTGACAATTTCAAGAGAAAATGCTATCTAACGGCAGTTAGACAAATAGTATCTGCAGATAGACTACCAAATCTGTAACTTTCTTTAAAACTTCAGATGATTATTTCACCATCCAGGTGTATTTGTATTTCTTATCCAACTTGTCTCCATGACTTAAACTCTACAGAGGATGGACTATCGTATATATCACTGCCTGTACAATGTACAGCATGGCATAATTTAATGAAATCTAGATTTCTAGATTTTCTGGCACTACCACAATACGAATATTGGCAGAACACTGAGCACCTTCTTAAATTGGTAACTAAGTAACACAGGGCTTTTATTCTCTTACCATTTTTGATGTTGGGTATAACAAGTTGCGTAGGCGAATTTCTGTTTCCGATGCCTTCTTTCTTTTGGTTGATAGTTGTGATGAAATTGCTGAAAGTGGAAAACTGATTTTTGGCTCCTCTCTCCAACCCCTGTAATTAAGATGACAGCATGCTATAAAGGGCTAATATGTTATTGCAAAAGTAATCTTATTCATGGGGTATGGCACAGAATACTTAAATATCTGCTATCTTGAAATCAGATTGGTAATACCTAAATAAGACACAAATAGTGATTCTGCAAGTTTGTTTCAAATTGAATCAGGAGAGATGCCATAAAATTCATTTCCATTACATTCAAAAACTCAAGTATTAATTTACAGGATATGAAGATATCCTTGGATTACTGCGAGGAAAACACAATACGATTAGAATGCTTTCAATAGTATTCTAACTTTCTGTATCCTTATTTCTAACCACTTTTATATTTTTCCCTACATCCAGCTCAGTTTAAACAGATGAAAATGTCACATTTTCCTTTTTCCAAATAACCCTAATATACTAAAGTAGTTTAGACAGATTTCCCAAGACTTGAAACGTGGGGTTAAAAATTCTACGTGAGCTAACCTGCTAATAAAATTTAAATACTAGCTACCTAGGTAAAAACCCCTAATGATTCAAAATCGTCAGCATCAGCTGCCACTGAAGAAAGGCTAGCCAACAAACACTTAACACAGTGTCAAAAAACCCTGCTTGAGTACCTGTATGTGCTGCCACCAAGAAGTCTGCACCACAAGCCTTTGCTAAAGTGTTCAGTGCTAATGTGTTTTAACATTGAACAGAAGTGAAATCACACAATGGACTTCCAAAGGATTGTGCCAGTTGGTCTGTTTGACACTGAGTGCTATTTGATATAGTTATTTACTCTGGAGAATTTGCAAAGCATAGGCGGGTTAATAGGCTTGCCCAAGACAACAGAAGTCGCATGATGGAGATTTTAAATTTCCATCGCAGCTCCAAGTCCTCAGCTAATGAGACAAGGGTAGATCAACCCCCCCAAAAACATACACACTCTCCCTGCACGTCATGGTTTTCAGCCTCATATTAACCTACAGATTCATTTGCTTGATATCTGGTATCTAGGCTCTCTGTTAGAAAAAAAACATTTTCATGCAAATCAAAACTGTAATTCCCCAAACAAGAAGAGAAATTCTAGAATAATTAACATAATATCCTATCAATTTTTTTAAATCCATGCATTTCCCTTTTTTCTTAAGAGTAGTAAATTTGGACTAAGACATGCAGCCAGAGTTCTGAGGAAAGCACTTACTTGCACCACAGCATCCTGAAATACCCCCAGGAGGGTAATAACCCAGCCCATAAACCTGCCATGCCAGTGTACACAAGCTGATATGCTGCCAGGAATTTAAAATAACTGTGGCACAAACAGCCATTTTTCCATGGCTTATAACTCAGCAAATTATAAATTTGAACAATCAGGATGACTTCTTGGCTTTAAAAATAGCAAGTTTCAATTTCTAGCTCCAAATTCCTTGTATGCAACAAAACATTAAAAAATAAAACGTAATTACCACTACAATTTTCACATTAACTTCTCCTTTTATTCTATAATCTTTGAAACATCATTAAGATGCTTCTTAAAAATCACCTGGCACATGACTGGAGAAAAACAGACCCTGAACAAACATGCAAAGACGCGATTGACTGAAAAGTGACTTTTAAACAAATCCAGATCTGAGGTTAATCTGCTGTGTAACAAAATGTGTACTCTAGGTAGAAAACCTCTGGAGCTCGGACTAGTCTCATTATGATTAATAGGCAATAGATATCATAGATAATTGAGAAGAGGAGCTTTTATGAAACAGACAATTGTGACAGCCTTTTTGACCAACTTAGCTTTTGAGATTTTACTCCAGCCATGCCAATGAAATAGTGTAGTTGAAGAGTTATTTAAAAAGGTTCTTCTTAATGCCACCTCCCTGAGCCATGACCAGCAAGAGCAACAATTGCACATGCTATTTAACTCCATCACCCTGCTCCAAGTGCAGTTCCAACAATACTAAACAAACATATGGACAAAGGCTTTACTGGAAAGTCCCAGAGGGATACTGGGAAACTACATGCTCATTAATGAGGATCTCTGACATCTCCTGGGAGAGTAATCTAGGACAAGTGTACAACACCATGTCATACTTCCAAAATTTTGTAGGAGGTCAGTGAGCCTCTAGAGCGCAAGACTCTACACACATGCTGCCATCAGAAAAGCCCCACATAAAGAATGAGAATGCTTAGAGGAAGTAAGTGGATCAAACTAATCTTTAACCCTCTTTTTAAAGAGCATATTAATAACTCACAACTCTCCTGGCTTTTTCGTCTAATTTTTCCAAAGCATTAAGCCCTCCATAAGACTGGAAAGGTACTAGCATTATACTTTATCAATCTATTTTTTCATTATTGAAGTTAAATTAGATGGTGAAAAGAAGTCAAACTGTTTGCAAAAAGCACATACAGATGCTTTCTGGGAAGAGGCAAAAGACCTCTGAGAAGAGTTGCTTAAAATCCTACTGTCTAGTCCTAATATAACTCACTCAAGACTTATATGTATGTGGCAAGCAAAGGCCAGCGAGGAGTAAAATGTTTTCTTCCCTGTGCAGGAAGACATGGAGGACACTCAGGTTACCTGAAGGCAGCTGTCAGTGCAACAGTCTACCCAAGAAGTATCCACTCATATCTTGAAAGGTGTAACACAGGACTGGTTTTGCTTTACAGAAGCCTCTAATTGTTCCTGCTTACTAGGGGACAAGTTATTCAGCTTCCCACAAGTTTCTCTTCAGAATCTGAATACTGATCTCCAAACCATCATCCCTTATGCATTATTTCTAATCACTATCTGGCTCATAAGAAAAGCCTGAACTCCTTTCAGGATCATGTTAATTTATTCAAGGACTAATTTAATCTCCACAACTTTCCTTAGAAATAAAAGCCAAAAAAAAAAAAAAAAAGTAACCATTCTTCCACCATTCACAACTCCACATGGCCCTTGACTAGGAAAAGCCACGGTATGAATGACTATAGCAACAGTCACATAATCCCTTTATTCCAACTCATATCCAGCTTCTCTTAGGAGAAAAAGGATACCACGGTTATCTGTTGACTTACTAAAATTCTGACCTTTTCCACAGCTATCGTGGAAAATCGAAACCATTTAAAGATGTGTCACTCCTTCACGTTGCCTTCGAGGCAGCTCTAGTCATGTCACATCAGTTGCACAAATCTATAGTGGGTCTTTACCGCAGTGAAGAAAATGCCAATTACACAAAATCCAGTGACGTGTTCCGAGACAAGAATGTCGGAGGCTCACTTCATACAGAAGCAAGGTATAGAGTACCTATATCACCATAGTCATCATATGATGGCTATGAATTCAGAAATAATAGGCAGAAAGAATATGAAAATTAAGGTCATCTGGAGTATCACTGTATTTGTATCAGGCATGTATTTTTAAAGGAAGGGAATTTTAATGGAAAAAAATAATGAATAACATATATTTTTAAAACACAGTCACTTCCCCCTTCTGTCATCATATCATATTACAAACTCTTTGCCAGTTTAATGAGGAGGAAGTTGAGAACATATTTCTCTCTTTAAAAGTGTTTGAGAGTATTTGATTAAGTAACACTTTTTTTGATGTTCAGTCAGAACTGTTAATACAAGAAGTACTAAAATCGTACTATATATGACAAATCTCACAACATCCATCACAAAGCTGTGGAATTACATGCGTAGGTTGGTCACAACCAGGGCTTAGCAGACCAACAGTCCAATACCTTCTTTACAGCAACTCACAAAGGTCTTACAAAAGCATACCTGCACTCCCTATTTGGCATATTTGCATGAAAAACTGCATTCTGTTACAAACAGAGAAATCCAGGGCTATGGAAACGTCTATTACATCTGTCCACAAAACTCTCTGTAACATACTACTAAAACCCATATGCAGCTCTTTGTAAATTCAAAATCCCACATGCATTTGACAAGCCATCACACCCAGCCAGAACCGAGCTCCTCTGTAGCAGGTCACTTTAGAAGACTTATGCCTGTGGGCAACAGTTCAGAGGTACGTGAAGGACGACCAGCTACAAAAAAGTTCTCCGGGTTCTTTAAGGCAGTAGGAATTCTACATGGCTGCCCAGTTGCACACGTTCTTCGTTAGTTGGGCTAAGCCCGATACATCTTAGACCAGCACTTGATACGTGTCTTTATTCTAAGGGACCGTCATTTGCCGTTCAAAGTCTGATGTGGAGATTTTCAAAGGTACAAAGAACTGCCGGGCACTTGTTCATTACAGACTTCTCCACCAAATCTGTATTTGAATCACAAGAACAAACACATTCTTCCACACTGACAGATTTGCAAAGCTGAAAGTCTGTCAGAAGATTGGAACATTGCAGGCAAAACGCAAAACTGGCAGAATTGCTCAAAGGAGTTTGCAGTTTGCCTATGATTACTTTGTTTTAAATTACAATTATTTCATGACAGTCATTAACATTAGACCCTCAACCTTTTAAATTCAAATTGTGTAAAATGGTAATTTATAGTATATCAGATACCTACCAGAACTGCCGAATTAAATTCTCATAACTGTATTGCTTACTACAGCATTGGTAAAATTTTTGCTCTGTTGTTGGACTGAAGTTACAGCAAGCTTTAACATCGAGCTATGCAAGACATTCAACTCATGCCAGGAAAATTTTATGTTTCGTAATATTGTTTGGTCAGCAGAAAGAAGATCATAACTCCAGTAAAATTAAAAAACTCAAACGAGGTTTCTGAAATGAAATTATTCTAGCAAATCTCCTCCTCGCAGTTTTTTTACCTGTGTTAACTCATTCATCAATCATTCAAATGTTTTGTCGTCTTTGCTTCAACACAATATAAAAACCGGAAAAGACCTTTTAAGAAAAAGTTAAAAATACAGAAGTATTTTCCAGCCAGCTCTCTTGCTATTAAGCATATGAAGAGCTGAAATCCTCCACCCCGCAAAACCCTTAGCGAACATTCACAACGCCGCAAGCCCTCAGGCATGACTAACCCGTAAGAGCAGACCGTCGTAAAATGTTAAAGGACTATAA